AATAGCCTCGATTATCTAACAGCTAGGGCTTAGTCAGATATGGCAAATCAGTATTAGTCTTTTACTTTTTAATTGTGTTTGTGTTTTTGTTCTGGTTTTGCTTTTTGGGGCCACGTGTGGCGATGCTCAGAGGTTACTCCTGGCTTTGCACTCAGGGATCATTCCTGGTGGTGCTCAGGGGACCATTTGGGATATCAGGGATCAAACCTGGGTCAACCATGTATAAGGCAAACACCCTCCCCACTATACTATCACTCCGGCCCCTCTTTTATTGTTTTCTATGGAGAAGTTACATTTGTCTATATGTTCCTGTCAGATTTCTTTGGTTTTATGTTCCTAGGAACCCTCTGCTCCTGACTAGAGAACACTCCCCTGGACAGGTCACTAGCAACAGTCAGAGATGCCCAGCTTCCCTCCTGTTGGTTTTAGCTGCACTTTCTAATACTTTCTTCTACAGAGAAGTCGTGTTTTAGGGGCGGGGGTTGTGGGCCATATTGGAGGCCCACTGCTGACCCAGTGTGGGGGGCAGCTTCCAGTGCCACTGGGCATTGAACCCGCGGTTCCCAAATGCCTTGGAGCCAGTGTCGGGCCCAGTGGCGCACCTCTCGAAAGGGGGCTGTGAGCAAGGCCAAACCCACTCACCTTGTTCTCTGTGTGGGGGTCCTGTCCCCTCCTTACCACTATACCCCTCCATACTGCCCCTTGTCTCATTGGCTCTGCCTCAGGCTGCACCTCAGGGCCAAGCTAGCCTCTGAACTGCTCTCCTCCCCGCGCCCACAGGCTGCCTGGCGGGTGCTGCCCCTCAGGCCTCCAGGCAACCTGGCTGTTCATAGGGGCCCACAGGCATTTGGACTAGACTCACCAAGAAAATGATCATTGCAGTCAAGTGGGTATTTAGGTAAATAAATATATGCACAGAAAACTTGTGTTCTCAGTGAGTTAAAAGGTAGAAGTTTTATTTTTAAATAGACATTTTCAAGGATATCAGAAAGGGGTGCTTTTCCTTTTTCCAAGCCAACTAGGTGTTCCAGGTAGCACTGTAGCACTGTTCTCCCATTGTTCATCGATTTGCTCGAGCGGGCACCAGTAACATCTCTATTGTGAGACGCGTTACTGTTTCGGGCATAGCTTGCCAGGCTTTGCTGTGCGGGCGGGATACTCTCGGTAGCTTGCCGGGCTCTCTGCGAGGGGCGGAGGAATCGAACCTGGTTCAGCTGCGTGCAAGGCAACACCCTACCCACTGTGCTATCACTCCAGCCCAGGTAACATTTTCAGATCATTTCTGTTTGCCAGATGCGTTCTGCCTAGTCCATGAGCCTCTAACAAGGCCAGCTAGCTAGGTCTTCCCAGATACACACGTTTCAGAAAGAGTGCTTAACTGTTCTCCCGTGATTTATATCTGCCTTCCCGCTCCAGGTTCACAGTTAATAGAAGAATCTCTATAGTCGGGTTTGGCTTATATGGATCTATTCACGGTCCCACGGACTATCAAGTGAACATCCAGGTACACTTTCCCCTGCATGGTGCAACGTCCTTCCACAGTGAGATACTGCTTCAACAGAACCTGTGTTTTGTGTCATTATCAAAGGGGGCAGAAGACCTGTTGGTAATACTTTAAGTCTAGAGAGTTCTGTTTTGCAGTCAGTCTGGAAAGTACAGTTTCAGGAAATTAGGGTCCTCATGGAACTGATACCCCACCTGGGCTGTCTTTGCCATAGGAAACTCGTCAGGGCTCCTATGCCTGGTCCCAGAGCTCCACTCCTTGTTCCGGGACAGGCGCTTGGGCCCAATGTCTGGTTCCTGCCAGCTGCTCTGGTATCTGCCCCCTGCTGCGTGTGCCCCACCCCCACCCCCCACCCCAGCAGGCCTTATGCGGAGGTGGAACCGGGATCTGCTTCTGCCTGGGATTGCTTTCTGCTGCTGGCAGTAAGGAGTAAAGGCTCAGTTCTCCTAGGGCCCCAGGAACCCCTCTCTGGCCCCATGCTCCACTTGGTCCTGTGTGGGAAGATCCCAAAAGACAGAGTGTCCTGCTCTGCTGTCCCTTGGCCCTTCAGTCTTGGCAGTGGGGGACTTCGTTTCAGTCGGTCTGACTTTACCGTCTGTCTTGAAAATCGCAGATCATTGAGTATGAAAAAAAGCAGACCCTGGGGCAGAATGATACAGGATTCAGCTGTGATGGAACCGCAAACACTTTCCGGGTCATGTTCAAAGAGCCCATAGAGATCCTACCCAATGCCTGCTACACCGCCTGCGCCACACTCAAGGTAAGAGACACCTAGAATGTTCCATGGGTGCTCATGGGATCCATCCAGAGATGAAAGGTGATCAGGCCTTTTAAGAACAGGCATTGCAGGGAGCTGGGTGCTGGGTCCTTGGCCACAAAGAGGTGATTCTTCACTTGAGGCCCCTTGTTGAGACGCTTTTTTGTTTGCTTTGTTTTTGTGTTGTTTTGTTTGGTCTGTCTTTGGGCCACACCCAGCTGTGCTCAGGGCTTACTGTCGGCTCTGCTCTGCGCTCAGGGATCACTCATGGTGGTCTCAGAGGACTATATCGTGTGCCAGGGATTGAACTTGGTTCAACTACATACTAAGCAAGCACCTAACCTATTGTACTATCTCTCTGACCTTATCTCCTGCCTGCGTGATTGGGGTACCCCATGCGGTGCAGAGGATTAAATCAGGGACATCCACGCCTTCACCCTGTTCTCTCTCCCGGCCCCTCTGAGTTCAGTAGTTTTAGTCATTAATGGCTTTGGGCCAGAGGCTTCATTTTATTTTTTTGTAAAATGACAGTGTACAGCTTAATAAGGAAATGCAATCATTAGGCGCTCCTAACACCTCACAATATACAAAGTACTAGTGAGCTCTGTTCTCCCTCAGGGTCCGGATTCCCACTATGGCACCAAAGGGCTGAAGAAAGTGGCGCACGAGACCCCGGCTGCTGGCAAGACCATGTTTTTCTTTTTCAGCTCCCCTGGCAACAACAATGGCACTTCCATAGAAGATGGACAGATCCCAGAGATAATCTTTTATACCTAAGTTAGCATTAAAATCCATCCTGGCTATATAGTAGCTAGAGTCTGAACTCAAAGGCATAAAAGTCCAGCCACAAAAAAATAGTCCGAGTGTTGTGAATATTTTTAATTGTAAGCTAAGAAACATTTTAGTTTCTTAGCGGAGATAGTAAATGCCGATTCAGAAATCTGCGTGGTTTGCAGGCAGATTTTTCATTCTCTGATGACCTTATGGGGGGAGGAGAGCAGGTTTGTTTGCCGGTGAGAGGCAGCACAGCTGTTTCCCACTGTCATCTGGCGTCATTTCCTACAGCAGTCGCCTTACCAGCCTGCAACAGTTTTGTCGTGAAAAGAGTCTTCAGAGGCATAGTTGGGTTTTTTGCTTTTGTTTGGAAGGTTGGATGGCCTGGGCATAGAGGCTTATTTTCAAAGTTTGAGAGGAGATGAGGCAGTATTCCTATAGAATTCCTTGTCACTCAACATTTTAAAAGATAAGAAAAGGGAGTTTCTATTCAGTCTTAGTGGGTTTGTACACACATTCACCATAATGTGATCTGTATAGACACGAGACCTAAAGGTGGAGCCTGAGACTAGATTCTTCCCTCTGGAAGGGGATTCTTTATTCTCTCCCCTGTGCATGGGGAAGGATGCTGCTGGGACTTCCCAGGCTCAGACTGGGATGGGGACGGGCCAGTCACATGTCTGCTCGGTGCAGGGTTAGGAAGCTGAGCAGCGTGTGACGTTTCTGAAAAGTCTACTTTGTCACCCAGAGAGTTCTAAGGCAGAAATGAGACCCATTGCGACCTCACTAAGATAACAAGTGTACTGGGATGGAAGAAAGAGGGCAATCTGGCAGAATGGCATTTCTATACTTTCTTACAAAGCGAATTTTTTATATAAGTGAAACAACATTCTTTTTTCCTCCCTTTAAAGCAGTTACATTTAAAAAAAAGTGATTAGGTGTAAGGTATAGCAACTAGCTGTGAAAATTTGTTTAAAATCATTGTTCCTTTCAGTCTCAGAATAATTTTTCCCTAATAATTAAGATGTAAGGTTTTTCACCCAAAGTAAGTAAATCTCATTTTATATTTTCAAGAGGGTAGTGTGAAGTGTGGTGGCAGAGAGCTCCTGAAATGGCCGAAGGAAGGGGAAATTTTTCTCTCTGGTGCCACGGCCTTAAGAATACAAACCTCAGCTAACTGGAACAGCCATGGATATGGGGTTCTGGTTAAGGAGACGCACCAGCATACTGTGGGTAATCGCGGTGGAAAGGATTTCTGCTGGACAGCAGTGGCGTGCCCCAGGGCATTGTGACCATCGCAGCGTTTGGAGCAATGATTTGAAGTGAAGGTGGCTCTAGAGCATAGAAAGAGCATGGCTGCTGATTGACTTGAAGCATCCCCTGGAGTGGAAAAGGAAATAAAAGGCTATTATCCTTTTATGAGTTTGTTTTGTTTTTGTTTTTGTTTTTTTTTGGGGGGGTCACACACATAACACACGTGGGTTACTCCTGGCGCTGCACTCAGGAATTACTCCTGGCGGTGCTCGAGGGATCATATGGGATGCTGGGAATCGAACCCGGGTCGGCCGCGTGCAAGGCAAACGCCCTACCCGCTGTGATATCCCTGTCCTTTCATGAGTCTGTCATTTGTCTTTTTCCTCTAACAGTTGCAAGTGACCTAGGACTGTTGTCACTAGATGTTGACCAGTCCCACTTAAAGCCTTCTTGGAACACAGGAGAGAGAGAAAGAGAGAGGGGGGAGGGAGGGAGAGAGCGTGAGTTCATGCAGTCACAGAAATGTTCACACGTTTCTGTGGGCTTCCAATCCTGCAGAAACCAGGAGCTCTGTTCTCCTCCGACAGCAGAGGTCGCGCTTGCGTCGGGACCGCGGGGTGCGCTCCGCGCAGGCGCAGGAGGTACGCCCGGCGCCCGGCAGTTCTCGGGAGGCCGCGGTTCCTCTCGCGCAGGCGCAGAGCGGGCTTCCGGCGCCAGTCGCGCTCCTGGCGGTAATGCGGCGGCTTGGCGGCCAGTGGCGGCGGCTCGGAGGTGGAACGGACGCCCGGGCCTTCGCCCGCCACATTCCAGGTTCCGAGATGCCTAGGAAGGCCGGTGCCACGGGCAAGGTCAGTGTCGGTGGGTGCGGGAATGCCAGCTGACGGGACATTACCCCGCTCTCCGCCCCCCACTCACCGTCAGTCCCCAGGGCGCGCCAACACGTGCCCCCGAGACACCGGCAGCCCAGGTGAGACCCCGCGCCCCGGAGCAGGTGCCGCCGGGGCCCGAGGTTGGGGGAGTGGGGGCGCGGGGCGGGGGTGGGAGCGCGGGGAGGGCGAGGCTTGGCGCTCTGGGGCGGAGCGTCCTGTCCCGGCGGGGTTTGTGCTGGGACCCGGCTCCTTACGGGGCAGGCGGAGGTCCCGGCAGCCCGGAATCGGGTCCTGGGGGCGCGCGGCTGACTGTGCCGTGGTTTTAGGGTAAGAGCCAGGACCCCGGCCCTCCGCCGCCCCGCGGGCCAGTGGCCGTTGACCCCAAAGGCTGTGTCACGATCGCCATCCACGCCAAGCCTGGCGCCAGGCTGAACGCGGTCGCAGGTACCCGGGAGCGCGTGGAGACGAGGGTCGTGGGCGCCCACCTGCATGGGTGACCGCGCTCAGCAGAGATGTGGATGGCCCGGGGGTGCATGGAGAGGCCTGGGGCCTTGCGTATGCAAGTCAGGCCCACTGCTCCAAGCGTCTCTCATTCTCGCGGAGAGCTGCAAACCCGGCGCTTAAAACTGGGTTGGGTGGGGTTGGGTTGGGTGGGGTTGGGTGGGGTAGGCAAAGTACGGGGTTCCAGCCGGGCCTTGCAGGGCGGGCCCCTTGCGTGAAGCCCATCTCTCGAGCCCCAGCGCTGAAGTTCCCAGTACACCAGTTTATTACCTTAATGGTCATTTATATTTTGCAAAGGAGGCCTGAGAATCGGAATGCGTTAACTCAGTTGCTGGGGTGGAGGCCAGGATTTTCCACGTAGTTTCTGAGACTCCTAGCAGCCCGAGAAGTTCGTGAACCAGAAGGACCGAGACCCTAAGACAAATCCGTGGCTTTTATTCCAGACCTGACAGCGGAGGCGGTGAGCGTGAGTATTGCCGCCCCTCCCACCGAGGGCGAGGCTAACGCAGAGCTCTGCCGCTACCTCTCCAAGGTCCTGGACCTCAGGAAGAGCGACGTGGTTTTGGAGAAGGTAGGTGTGTGGCCCCTTGCTCTCCCCCTTGCCCCCTCTTCGCAGTCATTCAATCACTAAAGGATGTGGATTTTCCTGCGAGTTTCCTAATTCCTCCAGCTGGGCCCAGGAGCAGTTGCCCCATTCCCAACACAATCCCCGTTTTCCTTTGCAAACCTGTCCCTGCACCTGGTCTGTCAGCTTCACCCCATACCAAGACATGGAAGGTGGTTCCCCTCACTTGGCATCTCTGTTAGTGAACCCGCCGAGCCTTGTGACCCTACCGTTGTCTTCGCTCTCTGACAGCAGCCTGTGGCCTCCTTGTTATCTTGCCTGTCACAATCCCCCAGGAAGGATTTCATCAGGTTCCTAGTTGTCACCCTGACTCACTGAAGTACCACCTGCAGGAGAGAGACAGGGAATGTTTGTTTCTTTTTACTTACATTTTTGGCTTTCTGGGTTCCACCCGGCAATGTTCAGGGGTTACTCCTGGTGGTGCTTGGGGGACCATGTGGGATGCCAGGGATGAATCCAGGTCAGCTGTGCACAAGGCCAATGACCTCCCAGCTGTAGGAAGCTCCGCCCCCAACTTTCTTAACACTTTGTTCTCTGGTGTTCTGGATGGAGTGACGCATTCAAGGTCACTGCCTAATCGCTAATCGTCTGCACCAGAAATCTGTCTAATTGGGTGACTTCCCCGCCATCCACTCCCCTCTGACAGGGTATTTCTGGTTTTCTGTGAGAAATACTTGAATTCGTATGTGAACATTTGGCTGACTGGTCTGATCTCTTTGCTTCCCTATGATAAGTGTCCCTGTTTGCTCTTTCCTATCTTCAAAAGATGTTTCCAAGCAACTTCTTTTTATAGTGGACCTAAATGACTCTTTAACCACCACTGGTGTTGGTAGTTTTGAGTTTTCAGAAACGTGTAACATGTAGAGAATAGCAGCTTGTTCCGTATTTGGAATATTCTCTACCAAGTTTACGTAAAATTATTATTCTTGACAATTTAAAAGCTAATTTTCAGGCCAGAGATGTATCCCGAACAGAGTGCCAGCTTTTGCTTTGCTTGCCCAAGGCCCAGGTTTGTTCCCTGGCACTACCAGTCCCCACCCTGTGCACACAGCCCCTGTGCACTGCTGGGTGTGGCCCAAAAACAAATTAACAAAAATTTTATAGAAAAACAAAAGAAATTCCTAAGAACTGGGGGTAGGGTGTTTGCCTTGCAGGAGGCCAACGTGGGTTCAATCCAGCGCAGAGCCAGGAGTAAGCCCTGCGCATTGCTAGTGTGCACCCCCCTCCCCCCCAAAAAAAGGGGGGGAAATGCACATAATGGATTCCATACTCATTTTGGAATTTCAGTGGTTGGTAGGAAGGCAAAAACCTTGAATACTTGTGAACATTTGTAGTGAAGAGGGATGGTTCTGAGTCTGATTAGGACAGAAATGGCCATGGCCCCCGGGAGCTACGCTGGTGGGGAGGCTTTCACCTGCCACTGTGACATGAACTACCGAGGTCACAGTGTCTCAGAGCACTAGGGCATCTAGTGTGTGCGCTGACACCATTTGTTCCTTTTGTCCAGGGCGGTAAATCTCGTGAAAAAGTGGTCAAGCTTTTGGCCTCCACAACTCCAGAAGAAGTCTTGGAGAAGTTAAAAAAGCAAGTCGAAAAAGAATAAAAGCAAGACATGGAAAATCCATTCCCAGCAGCAGTTTCATTGTTAATGCTGAAGAAGCTATTAGGTTGGAAATGCAAAATGGTAGGACTTTCAAAAGCATTCTACCCAGGATATTGGTACCACTTGGAACATATTTGTCTGGTTCTGTGACCTCACAAAGCTGCCAACTGGGGAGAATGTTAGGAGTGGCTGTGACTAAGCATCGAGACTTCTCTAAGATCACAGTCTATAGGACAGCATTGCTAAGAGCTTCACGTCTCCATCATAAATGAAAATGTTTCCACAGCACTTCGAGAATTTGGGGGATTGCCCTCTTACCCAGTTTCCAAGTGACAGAGGAACACAGAAAGGTTTCCTGTGCCTTTTAAATGCCACTGAACATTTTACATGAAAAACCAAGAATAATCAAGACTTGAAGTTTCATGTTCCCTCTCCATTTGGAGACATCACTCCAGGCAGTCGCCTTCTTGGATGGCAGCTACAAATGGCGGATTTGTAATTCTGATGCTTCTCAAGACCCCCAGAAGGACAATGCAGCCCTTCCAGGGACTCAGGGTAGAGCCCAGGCCATGTGCCTGAGGCCCTAGGCTCCATCACTTGCACCAAAAATAAGAACTAGAGGCTATTTCCATTGAGTGTAAAAGGTAGTCAGAAATTTATATCTATGTAAAAGCTTCAGAAATGAATAATATCTTGATTGTAAATATTCTGTGCAGATTCAAGTAAGCTGACAAGATTAATAACCTGATTACTTTGTTCATCAAAGAAACCTGATTTACAGTTGCTTTGTGTTGTATTGATAGACAAATGCTTTAAAAATGTGTAATGAGGCCAGAGAGATGGCCCAGTGGGCTGAGCAACTTGCCCAAAACCTGGACTTGGTCCTGGCACTGTATGGACCCCAGAGTACTGCCAGAAGAGGCACCAAATAACAACTCAAAAAAAAAAAATCACCCAGATTCAGGGTCAGAAATGTAATGCTGCTGAAGTGCTTCCCTTGTATATATAAGGCTCTAGCACAGCAAAAACTAACAATACTAAATGCATAAGAAGGACCGACAGCAATGAGTTTGTTATGGTAAGAAGTGAAAAGGATTCAGCTAGTCCCACTTTTGTCCTTTTTTTTTTGCAGGAGTACTGCTGTTTATTCAGCCTTTGATTAGGCTGATTGAAAAGAGCATGAACTCCACCTTACTTTTTTTTTCCTTTTTTTTTTTAACAATTTTATTTATTGAATCACCGTGAGAGCAGTTACAACTTTCACGTTTAAGTCTCGGTCATACAATGAAACACCCGTCCCTTCACCAGTGCCCATTTTCCACCATCAAAAACTCCAGTATACCCCCCATTCCACACCCTCCCCCTGCCTGTGGGGCAGATGATTTCCACATTACTCTCTCTCTACCTTGATTGCATTCAATATTTTGACACCAGACCCACCATTATTATTTAAGATTTTACCCCAACACTCAGATCTGCCAAAAAGGCAACAGTAGACAATTTGTTTCCTATTGCTGGTTATAAAGAACATGATTTTGGATTTTCGAAACTTAAAAAATTAAATCTAGAGGGATTTCTGCCAAAACCTGCTAGGCTCCAGGATTTGTTCCTGGGTCTCTGGGATCATGGCCCTTAAGCAGCTTGATCAGGAGCCAGGGAGGCTGTTCATGGGCGGCGACTCAGGATCTCTTTGGGGTGGGGAGGAAAGGGCCGGCTTCACCCCCATCCCATGAGGCCCCATGTGTCTCATCACTGCGGGCCCAAACCTGACTGTCCAGTGGCCTCTGGAGGATGGCAGCCACCGAGCTGCCAGGGGGAACAGGCCAAGGCACAAAACCTATTCCCACCTGGGGTGGCCCAGCGCCAGTAACCTACTGTGGGGACCAGACACATTTCTGCCAAAAGCCGCTGGGTTCCGAGGTTCGTTTCTGAGTCTCTGGGATTATGGCCATTAAGCCGCTTGATTGGAGCCAGGCCATTCATGGGCAGCGGGCAACTCGGGGTCTTGTTGGGGCGGGGAGGAAAGGGCCGGTTTCACCCCCATCCCAAGGTCCCACGTGTCTTGTCACTGCGGACCCAAACCTGACTGTCCAATGGCCTCTGGAAGATGGTGGCCACCAAGCCGCCAAGAGGGAGCAGGTGGAGGGACAACACCCTTTCCCCCTTGGGGTGGTCTGGCGCCGGTAACCCATTGTGGGGACCAGATGCATCTCTGCCAAAAGCCAGAGTTCCGAAATTTGTCTCTGAGTCTCTGGGATCATGGCTGTTAAGCAGTTCGATCAGGAACCAGAGAGGCCACGCCTCCAATTATATAGCTGAGCCGGAGGTGGTTTGTGGGTGTGTCTCCCACATACCTAACTTTTGGCCATTTACTTTCTTGGTAAACTTGGTCCCAAGTTGTTGGGGTCTGGCCAAAGGCACAGCAGCAATTTTGGGGTATCTGGAGGTCTGAAGGTGCCATCAGGCTGCTGATGCACTTGCTTCACAGGCACAGACTGACCTGCTGGTGGCACCACACCCCCACCGCTTTTGTCCTGTTGATGAAGACCTTGGACCAGAAAGGCGGGCACTTGTCCAGGAGCACACTGACAGTTGTCTCGGAGATGGCTTGAGATCTTTTCCTACTCTCTCAAACCCACTTCGGTGTTTTTCGGCTGCTGGTCAGTCTGGGGGTGCAGGCTTGATCCCGGCATGAACCCCTGAGGTTTACCGGAAGCTGCCCTGCAGTAGCCAGAGCCACAGAAAGCAGCATCTGAAACAGGTCTGTGTTGTCTGTGCATGAAACAGGCATGACTGCATGGTCACGGCTAAGAGCAGCTTAACACTTGTACAGTCTCATTTCTGTGTTGCCAGGCATGTGCACAGTGCACAAAGGAAAGAAAAATCGCAAATGACTAAAACACACACAAGTGAAAAAAGCTCTGGCCGGGAGCCAGGAAAGCAGCGTTATGCTCCTAGTCAGAAGCTGGAGATGCTCTGGGAAATTAAACCGCATTGGCAGTGGGAGAAAATATCACGAGATTAGCCTCACTCAAGTCACTGAAATGCAGAGGAAACCCAGCAGGTGATTAACAGGCGTGGCTCCCCAAGCCCTGGGGACAGTGGCATGCCCTGGGCCTGTGAACCCTGCCGTAGAGCAGCTTGGCGTCAGCACCTAGTGGCCACTGGGAAGGCTTGTCCTTCCCTTACCACCCCGGCCATCTGGAAACCTGGCCAGCTACAAGTGAGTGCTGGCATCAAACCCAGACCACCCCCACACACAGCACGCACTCATCGTCCCCAGCCCCAGGTCAGCCCCTGGATATGAAGGCTCTCAGGTACCACTTGTCTGCCCACTCTCCCCTGCTGCCATAATAGCACCTGTTTATCTGCACGCCAGTGCCTCTACAAGGCCACCCACCTGGAGTCCTGCCACTGCTGCTACAGGATCACAGGCAACCATTTTGCCCAAGCTGTTCTCCCAGGCTCCCAGAAGGCCCCCAGGTCCTGGGTGTCTGCTCTGCCCCCAGTTAGTTCCTGTGGAGTGAACCCAGCTTCTAGAAATACTGGCACTCTAGGCTACTTGCCAGTTGAATGGTTAGAAACCTACTACTACTTGAATCTGGTTTATTTGGCCCCAGGAACCATAAGCAATCTAGTTTAGATTCTGTAGAAAGTTGACTGAATCTGAAATACTGATCTAAATAAGTCACTTCAACCAATGTCAGTTTACTTTTTCTGTAGTTTTTTGATTTTTTTGTCTCTGGGCCATACCTGGCAGTGCTCAGGGATCACTCCTGATTGTTTCAAGAAATGGTATCAGATGCCAGGGATCTAACTCAGGTCAGCCGTGTGCAAGGCAAGTGCTCTACCTGCTATACATCACTCAGGGCCCCCCTGTTTTTCATTTTGGGTCACACCTGGCGATGCACAGGGGTTACTCCTGGCTCTGCACTCAGTAATTATTCCTGGCAGTGCTCGGGGGACCATATGGGATGCTGGGAATTGAACCCAGGTCGGCCGCGTGCAAGGCAAATGCCTTACCTGCTGTGCTATCACTCCAGCCCCTCAGGCCTCTTTTCAGTTGTTTAATTCTATACCAAAAACAAACCTCTGAATATTTTATTTTTTTTTTTGCTTTTTGGATCACCTGGCAGTGCACAGAGATTACTCCTGGCTCTACTCTCAGAAATTACTGCTGGCGTTGTTCAGGGTACCATATGGGATGCTGGGAATCAAACCCGGGTCGGCCGCGGGCAAGGCAAACACCCTACCTGTTGTGCTATTGCTCCAGCCCCATACCTCTGAATTTTTAAGTAGAGCTTGAGTGGCCTATATAACTTAGGATATCAAAACCAAATAACCAGTCTATTTACTATTTAAAAGTATGTATGTATGTGTCGTGTGTATGTACTGTTTAAAATAGGAAAGTTTTCAGTTAATAGCTTCTCTGCAGTACGTCATTTGTCCAAGCAAAGCTGAGTGCTCCACGAGCACTGTTTCCTTGAAGGGAGGAAGTGGGCAACCCAGGCTGCCTGATGCAGGGGGTATTAGTTACTGACACAGCCTTCACACATGCCATGGTGCTGGGTTGTTGAGTCAGGCTGTGAATTGTTACAGTTACACTGGGTTTGCATGTAAAGAATCAAGTGCAAAGAATCAACTAGAAAATGTCTGAGGTATTCAGAACCAAGAGTGTAGTTATTTTAGCGGGTAGAGTGTTTACCTTGCACACGGCCAACCAGGGTTCGATTCCATCCCTCTCAGAGAGCCCGGCAAGCTACCAAGAGTCTCCTGCCCACACGGCAGAGCCTGGCGAGCTCCCCATGGCATATTCGATATGCCAAAAACAGTAATATGTCTGACAATGGAGACATTACTGGTGCCCAAGCAAATCAATAAACAACGGGGGGACAGTGCTACAGACTCCAACATCAATGCTGTGGATAATGGTTCAGGCACGGACTGTTCCCTTTTGTTTTAGGATTTTTGTGGTCGTTTTGGGTCACATCTGACAATGCTCAGGGGTCACTCATGGCAGTGCTCTGGGGACAATGAGATGCCAGGGATTGAATCCAGGTTCACCCGAGTATAGTGCAAGCGCCTACCTACTGTACAATCACTCTCAATGACTCTATTCCTCCAGTCTTCTAAAAAGACACTACATGATTGTGGTGACTCACCCTAGAGCGAAAATAATCACATAGTAGCAGTCACAACAGAAGCCAAGACAAAGAGACTCCAGCTCTTTTATTTTTTCAGGGCCTGACACGTCACCTCCAGAGGCAGTTCTGCCCCCAGCCCTACAATTTCCCTCTGACTGCTGATGTGTGTTACAAGTCATGGGTCAATCATAGCAATTTCACCGCATTTGGGGAGTGAGCAGATCCAGGCATATGTATAACCCCTTATCTAACAAAGTAAATGCATTTTCTAGTTGACAATTTTAATTTCTGTATGAAACAAAGAGAACTCCTAGAGGTCAAAGAGGTAAAACTAAACCAAGTCCAATGCATATGATGTCATCCACAACCTCGGGGGATCCTTTCCTGGGACCATCATATCCCTAGTAAGATCTAATTTTTTTTTCCAATTCAAGTTTCAAAAAAATAACAATCCGCTCTCCAAACTCAGGTTTTGTGGAACAGACCAACCGAAGACACTTACGAGCCACATTCCCAGAGAAAATGGCTTTGCTGACCACCGGTGTCCTGTCAGTCTTCTCCATAGGGAGGCTGCTTCTTGTAGCCACAGTGTCCATACTGTGGGAGGTAGTAGGGGTCTTGTCTCTGCTGCTGGTAACTGTTCCCCCAGGATCGTCCGTGCCACTGACTTGATCGACTGTCATTGGACCACCCCCGTCTGCCATCCCCTCTAAAATGTCTATTGTCTTGTACCCTGCAAGGATAAAAAAGATTGGGATGCTTTTTATATACTTTTAAGGGTTTTGGGGTCACGCCTAGTGGTGCTCAGGGGCTATTACCAGCTAATTACTGGGTGGAGGAAGAGTGTTGCTCTCCAGTGCTGGGAATCAAAGCATTTGTTCCAGCTCTTTGTATCATCTCCTCCCCCCCAAAATAAAATAAAATAAAATAACTCTTTCCTGAGACTTGATTTATCATCTAATATTCAGGAAATGAGAAAACATTCTACCATAATTCAGTACCAGTTACTCAAAACCTTCCTAAGACTTAAGTCATTCTTCCATTATTGCATGATGATCTTTACAGAGAACAAATCCTTAACAGAGCTGTTCTGAATCTAACTGAAACGGAGCCAACTGTTCAGAAGCAGCACAGGAATTTATTCCTTCGGCTGTTCTGAAACATCAAACAGGTGCTTCAAGCTTATAAGCTTTTCTTCTTAAGTGAAATCAAAACAACACCTTCATAGGATTTAACACAAACATTTCATAGGAGACAACTTTTCTTGGGGGGACTGGGGATGGGGAGAAGGGGAGGGAGGAGGAGAGAGGGGGTGCAAACCTGGAAATGCTCAGGTCACTCCTGGCTCTACACTCAGGGATCATGCCTGGTGGTGCACAGGGGACTATATGGGAATCTGGGGATCAAACTTAGGTCAATCATGCAAGACAAATGTCCTCCCCACTGCCCTATCACTCCAGCCTGGAGACCTAGTGAGCGTGGGGACACATACATGCTCGACCACTTGACACTATCCCCACCCCAAGATTCAGGGCTTGAAAGCCATTTTTTAAAACCAAGAGCAAACACACACTTGCACATGCACGCACATGCATAAGTGTGCACAAATACCCTATCCCATGAAAAATACATGGTGTCAGCAATGAGCGTGCTTCCCCCATCCCAGGCACCATGATCAGATACAAGGCAGGTGCCTTACTAAGCAAACACTGCTCCCTCCCTGCCCTCAACGCTTTCTGGGCAGATCAGAGCTGTCCCCTGCGGGCCTGGTCATCTGCATCGACTGTCCTGGCGGAACACCTACCAGTTGCCTCGATTCCTTTGGTTCCCACCAGCTCTGCTATTCCACTCCTCGACAATTGGAGGGGTCTCGGGAGGGCGTTTTAGGTACTCCTGGAATTCCTGGTCCTCTTCTGTGAATCTCTTGGCAAACATCTCTTCGAATTTCCGTACTGCTTCAGAAGTGTCCGTCATTTTGATATTCTGTAGTTTCAAATGTTTTATATTACAACTTTTAAAATGTCTTACCAGATACTGAAAACCAGGAGAATAATTTTATGTCGATTTGGAACGATTGTTACACAAAACCCCCGGTGCATCCTTTTCGTGGGGTTGGGGGGACCCTGGGATGCTCAAGGATCACTCCTAGAGGGCTGGGGGGACCCTGGGATGCTCAAGGATCACTCCTAGAGGGCTGGGGAGACCCTGGGATGCTCAAGGATCACTCCTAGTGGGCTGGGGGGACCCTGGGATGCTCAAGGATCACTCCTAGTGGGCTGGAGGAGGGGGCAATATGGAATGCGGGAGACCAAGTCCGTGCCAGGGAAAAAGCCCTCCCACACGACGGCTCGGGCCCCAAGACTTGCGCGCGTGCTTTTCCCTTTCCGATGTCTGCGTCACTGTCCACGCCTTGGCTTATGTCTGCATCTGTCTATGCGTGTGTCTACGCTCTGAGTGCCGGTACCTGCGTCTGTCCCCGTGTCCCTGCATGGTGGTGCCGGTATCTACGTCTGTCTGTGTCGCGGGGTGACGGGGGTGCGGCTAAGCAGTCCGCGCTCCCCAGCCCCACCCAACCGAGCCCGAACCCTTCTCCCTGCGCGGCCTCCTGCTCACGCCCGAAGCCCGCGCCCCGCGGATGCTCTTCCCCGGCCCTGCGCTCTGGGACCGAGTCCCCGCCGCAGAGACGGCGCCCCGGGGTCCCCCGACCCGCCAGCCCACCCCCGTCTGCAGGCAAGGGCAGCCCTGCACGGTCCCCTTCCGGGCCCTCGCGACATCGACCACCCGATCTCAGACGCGACCACGTACTGTCCGCGCTCCGGGGCCGCCGCGCCGCCGCAGGGATGCAGCCGCCCCGCCACGCCGGCAGAAACCGGGCGCCACTTCCGCTTCCGGGGGGAGGTCTCGCGAGGTCCGGGCGGAAGTCCCGGCCCGCCCGGCGAGACCCGCCGCTTCCGGTCGCCGGCGCCTGCCGCGCCTGGCCGTGGGGCGGGGGCTGCGCTCTGTCGTGTCTCCCTCGGAGGCGCGGCGAGGGGCGGGCGGCGTCTCCCTGCACGGCCCCGCGACCCTGGCGCCCCCGGCGCGGCGCTGGGGTGGCCTTGCCGGGCCCCCTCAAACGTCCCTGGAGAGGCGGTTCTCGGCGTGTGTCCTGTGGCCGACTTGAGCCTCTGCTCCGTGGCCCGAGTTGAAGTGACAGATTCCCCCGTGTCCTTGCATCTCGGTGTTATCCCCTTTGCACCCCGCCTTCGCGCCCCCCGGTGTGCGGTTACTGGGGTGGGCTTCCGCAGAGCCAGGCAAGCTGGCGGTCGGTCCCGAGCACTGCTGGGTGTGCCCCACCCCGCCCCCATCCCCGAGAAAACCCTTCCAGGCACCTTTCTGATCTGGGCAAATCTCCTAGTGTTTCTCCACCCTGATTTTATCTTTATTTTTTTTTTTTACATTTTATTTTCTTTTTTTTTTTATATTTATTTATTTTTTAATAGTGAGGCACCATGAGGTACAGTTGTAGACTTACACATTTTTGTGCTTGGGTTTCGATTATACAATGATCAAACACCCATCCCTCCTCCACCAGTGCGCATTTCCCACCACCACGGATCCCAGCATCCCTTCCCCCCCAGCCCCCTGATTTTATCTTTAAAAGGGGGTGTAGCAGAATCCTTGCTCTTCTCTGCTTTGTAGGGTTATCGTGAGAATTCATTATTGCCTATGTAAAGTACTTTGGGCTGCTGGGGGTTGAGGGAAGATGCTATAGAGGTGTAAGTGATAATTAGGGTTGTTCTAAGTGACATGAGTCTATAAAGTAATGGTTAATCTCTGAGAAAACATTTTAATCTATGCGAAGCCCTGGGTTAGATCCGTGTCTGGATCCTGTGACTTTAATTACAAGGAATTGTTTCGATCAGAGATTACAAAGGCCTAATCCAGTCCTGGGCACTCCCACCTAAGGATTCCTTTGTGTTGACAACTGCTGTCTTACTGCAGGAAGCCAATGCTAATTATACTGGGTTTTGCTACCTGAGTCTGTTTACCATAGAAACAAGCTGATAACATCAAAGAAATCACAGGGAGAAAAATGAGCAGTTTTAGGAACTAAATGGCTGTGAATTGAACCTAATGGATTGGAATTTAAAATTATTCCATTTTTAATAGGGCTAGAACATTAGTTCTAGCACAACGGGTAGGGCGTTTGCCTTACAAGCAGCCAACATGGCCGACCCGAGTTCGATTCCTCCGCCCCTCTCGGAGAGCCCGGCAAGCTACCGAGAGTATTCGATATGCCAGACACAGTAACAACAAAGTCTCCAATGGAGACGTTACTGGGCCCGCTCGAGCAAATCGACGATCAACGGGAGGGCCTTTACCTTACCTTTACCTAGAACATTAGTACAGAGAAGGTAGGATGTTTGTCTTGCTTAGAGCCGACCCAGGTTCAATCCCCAGCATCCCTCATGGTCTCCTGCCAAGAGTGATCCCTGAGTGCACAACCACAGAGCCAGGAGTAGGCCCTGAACACTACTGTGTCTGACCAAAAAAAAATGTTTTGTCTTCCATATTCTTAGTTGATGATTGGGATCCATAGGTGTTTCAACTCCCTTTCCCTAATATTTGTTATAAAAACATAATGCAATTATATTCTCTAAGTAAAGGAGATTTGAGCTCTGTTTGCACAAAATCTTCCCTTTTCTCCATTTGACAGAGAACATCCCAGGCCAAACAATGGCTGCCGTTCAGTATCCTTTGGAACGCTCTGTTGACTTGCTCTAGTCATCCATGTGAGCATCTTGCTTCTGGCTACTGCATCACCAGAAACGCTTTTTGTCTCTAGATGATGCCTTGGAAATATGCAGAGAGTCTGCAGAGCGTACAGAATCACAGTCTTTCAATGCCTCTCCTTCACTCACACCAGGGTCTACCCAGGTGAGATTCCAGAGTCTTTTTTCAGTCAAGGGGTCTTTGAGGGCTGAGTGTCAGAATAGTTTTTGAAGCCCCGGATAGTGGCACGTGTGAGACAGGACCTGCCTCCAAGGGTGAACTTCTGCAGCTTGCCCCATTTTCAGAGGCAAGTCTTCTGGGTCTCTAGCAGAAAGTCCTGTCTAGACAGATATCTCCAGCACACGTCTAAAGGTGCGTTCAGGAGCTGGAGCCATAGGAAAGCAGGTAGGGCATTTTCCTTGCATGTTGCCGACCTGGGTTTGATCCCTGCCTCCCATTTGATCCCCTGAGCACTGCCAGAATTCCTGAGTGCAAAGCCAGGAGTGACCCCTGAGCCCTAAAAGCAAAAACAAACAAATAAAAAACCATGAAATAAATAACAAATAAAGGTGAATTCACCTTTCTTCCTGGACCTGTTTATCCAGCTCCGCTTCCACTTCCAGAGTGTTTCCTCTGGTTACCCAGCCTAGAAACCCAGCTGCCATCCTGGACTCCTCCCTCCTTCTCAGCCCACATGCCTCATCTTTTGCCATTTCCTATGGACTCAGCTCTCTCCTGTCTGTTCAAAGTCTTACTTCTGATCTCATCCTTAGTTTTATAGACCATGGACATAGCCACTTACTGGTCTCTTTATCCATTTCTCCCCCCTGCAGAGCTATCTCCACCCTGCAAGCAGATTTTTCTTCCTATATTACTGGGAAACATACAGGAAAGAATGGATAATAATCACGGTGATTCAATTGAAAAGTTAAAATTTTAAAAAATGGATACTATTATAACTGGTAGAGGAGGATCTTTCTCAAACACAAACCTGATCACAACCAGCCTGTTATCTACCTGCCTTTCAGGCTTCCCAGCTATGTCTTGGGTACAGTGTAAGCTCCTTGGTGTGGAATTACAGCCTGTTAGGGTTTCGATCACTACTATCTGTTCAGCTTTGGCTCATGTGACTCTCCCTTAGGGAGCCAGACTCACAGCTGTGTCCAACTGTTGGGAGTTCCAGGGGACTCTATTCCTTGTGGCATGTATACGTGTGTTTTTCCCTGCCTTTCCTGTCCCTGCTCTACTCAGAAAACCTCACCTGTAGGTGGCCCCCATAAAACACCGCCTCTTTGGCCCCACCTCAAGCAGAACTGTGATGATTTCTCCCACAGAGTCAGTCACACATTTATTGCCACGTAGTTTAACTTGTTTGCATCCACCTCAGCAACAGACTAGACTCTTGGAGGGTGAGACTCATTTCACCTCCTTAGCAATTAGCAGAGAGGCTGGTGGCCTGATACAGAGCTGGTGCTCATAAATGTCTATTGATTTGGTCCCTACCTTCCTTTTGGTTTTATATTTCACTGGCCTTTCCCCACTTACTTCCCTGCCCTCTGCTCCATGAACCACTCAGGTATTAAAACTCTGCTCAGCCCCTTACACATAGCATAGGTGTTTTCCTCACACCCCTTTATTATGGATTCTGACCACCTTTCTATTTTTCCCCCACTTTGTTTAAACACCAGGGTTTACAAAGTTGTTCGTGATACATTTGTTATAGGCATTTAATATCCCATCACAGCTGTCACCTTACCTCCACCATCGTCTCCATTTGCCCAGTCACTCTACGAGCCTGCCCCCAAAGCATGCCCCAGATAACTTAATTTTTGTTATTTATTGCCACTAAATAGCTAGTGGAATGATCAAAAAATACTTCAGTAAAGGAAAATTTTCAAATTTCAAATATTTCAAATATTTCAAAAAATAGGAACATGAAGTTCTTATCTGAGGATTTACTAGGCTAGTTAAGCCTTCTGTGTTGATGTTTTTGTTAGTTGAGCTTAGTTGGCTTTTATGTTCTATCTGATCTGGTGTGCTCCTACTGGGCTGGTAGTATTATAGAGTTTGGAGATGTTGCTCCAGAAAATCCAGAGTATTTAACTTGACAGTGAGCTTATATGACACTGGTGGTGGAATGTGGGTGTAGTTACTGGGGCTTCTGGAAGTACAAGGGGTGGGGGGAGGTTGCTCACTCTGACTCCAAAAAGGCCCGGAGTTTTCAGCCAGAAAACCTCAGCATACCTGAAATTTTCAGCAGTTTTGCATCTCTGTGGGGCTCAGTCGTGAGTTAGTAGAGTCCAGCTGTAGGCCTGGTGGCTGCTGTTGGGGTGTGAGTATGGCTGCCCTGATTTTGGCCCACCCTCTCCGAGATCACCCTGATCCTTCCTTGAGTCTGCCTGCTTCCATGTCTGTCATCCCTGCTTGAGTGTGAATACCATGAGTCCAGGCACCACATATAGTTAGTGTCTCTCCCTTCAGCCTCGTCTTGGGGTTCAGCCCCACACCACAGTTCTTGTGAGCATGGGAGTGAAGGAGTTAGAATCTCCGACTTCCGAATTCTCTTCTGGCTCTAAACCTGTGTGATTTGAGGATTTCAAAATCCTATGACATAATCTAGACCTTTTCTCCCAGCAGATGGTCAAAACAGTTGATGCACCAATTCAAATGGTTGGCAAATATAAAGGTAAACATTGAAGAAACTGAATCAGATGAGGTTGAGACTTGGAAAGAAACGTTGGCCAAAGGGGAGTGCCCAGGCTGCTTGCACATGAGCTTCTGCACCCTTGTGAGCCCCATGTGACCCATTTCACTTTAATGTGCTCTTATTTTTCTGTACTAACTTTTCTAAATGTGTTCATTTTTTGGTAGGCCAAATACCAAGTTGAGTCACTTAATTTATGAATGTTCAGCTAGAATTCTGGCGTGGGGAACAGTATGTGGTTCAGCAGTAGAAGCATGTGCTTTTCTTGAATGAGGCCCTGGGCTGTATCCCCAGAACAGAAGAGACTAGAACTTCTTGGGGGCCTTCTGACCTTTCACTCCCCAGCATTTGTACAGTCCATTTCAAGGCCTTCTGCTGGGCAGGTGAGAGAGTGTTTAAGATGTTTAAGTGT